TCCAATGCCTGGAAATAGGACAGGTGGGAAATAGGACACGGAATTCAACTCCTCTCTCTTACTTAAATATAGCACTGCGACTATTTCTGTTACTTATCGTGAGAGGTTTTATGAGTATTGGTGTATTTTGCTATTCAGCATGAAGCTGTACATGCTTCATTTCCACCTTTGAAATCCAAATTTCCAAGTAATCACTTTTAGGAAAGCATTCCTCTATTTTGAGCTTCATTCTCCATGGACCATTTGTCTCTGGTGCTGAGCCACTGGGTAACCAGAGGTTACAGTAAGAATTCGTCATGCCAGTTTCCATCTTAAAGAGAAAAGTCTTCAAGACAAACAAACCATTTTTTTTAAATGGGTAACAGAAATGAACAGGCATTTCACACAAGAGAAAAAAGAACAGTCTCATAAGTTCAACCTCATAAATAATCAGGAAAATGCAAATTAAAACCACAATGAGACACCATTTCACACCTCATCAGATTAGCAAAAAGTTGGAGTCTGACAATACCAAGTGTTGATGAGGATGTCAAACTACAGAAATTCTCAAACTAGGACAAGGGGGAGGTGTCTGGAAGGGGAACATGTATTGAAAAATAACTTGTATTGCCTAGTAAAGTTGCTGTGTACACGTACACGTACACACACACACACAAAATGGACTACATGTTAAAATCAGTGATAAATTTTCTTAAGTTGGTAATTTTGACATATTTAGGAGTGAAATGACAAGATGTGTACAACTTTAAAATGGGTGAGCAAAAAACACACCGACGAGTCAGGGGTGGGGAGAAGACAGCTAATGTGATAAAATGATAAACTGTTGGGGCAGGCTCTGTCACAGAGCCTTGTTACTGGCAGCCTAGCCCAAGGACCCTGCCTGGATCCAGTCTGTCTGGATTCAGCCACCTGCCTGCATAAAAAACTAGGCAAAAGATGGAAAAAGGAAAAATGAACTTTATGCAGTTTGATCAAATTGGAGAGAGGCAATGAGTTTCTTCTGCCTTCCTTCAAAGCTGGCTTTGAATCAAACCTACTTTCCTACCAGTTTGAATATTTCTGGAGCAGTGAGCTACTGCTGGATGGTGGATGGTGAAACCTAGACTCCCCGACCCCACCCCATCCCTCACCCTAGGTGTTTCTGGGTGTAGTAACATCTGCAAATTTGAATCAAAGCTCTGCCAATTACTGATTTGCAACCTGGGGAATCTATTTAAGCTGTCTCTACCTCCATTTAATCATCTGTAAAATGGGAGTAACAGTGGTAGGCACAAAATGTCCTGAGTGTTACATGAAGTAATTCAAGTAAAGTACTTGAAGCTGCTGCTGCTTTGTTGCAGGCTTCCATAACATTCAGTCCTACCTCTGTTAGCTCCACTTTGCAGATGATGTAAATTCAGACGTAGGTGAAGTAACTTATTGGGTCACTAACTGGCTGTTGGTGGTGGGCCCTAGATGAGGAGGAGTGTGGGAAGCTTGCTCCCCAGCAGAAGAGAACTTATGGCTATGCTCACCAGCAGCCTCTGAGACAAAACAAACAATCCCATCACCTGTAGACAGATGACTGATTTCTGGAACATTACTACAGTAGAATGCTGTGCAGCTGTAAGATGCACTAACAGGAAGAATATTTTTAAAATAAATTAAATTAAAGGCTTCCATTTTATCCTGAAAGATTTTAACTGCTCCAGCAACAAAAGGACCAATTAAGACACTAAAACTACCATGAAGAAGATAAATCAAAAAATGTTTTGGTTTAAAACCACATTGTACTTCTTCATAGCACTTCTGCTAAGAGTGAGAAATTACTGTCTAGATACTTAACAGGTGAATAAACCAAAGAAATAGCAGTTATAAACCAAAGAAATATTCCTACAGTGGACTTATTTGCAGCCATGAAAACAGTGTTTTAAAATGAATGTTTAGCGATGTGGTAGAATAATCACTATATGATGTTAAATCTAAACATAGAGGATCCAGGGTAGGCACCGAGGTACACGCTTTAATCTCTGCAACTCAGTAGGCTGAGGCAGAAGGATCTCAAGTTCAAGGCCAGCCTCAGCAAGGCCTTACATAATTTAGTGAGACCTTGTCTCAAAATTTTTTAAAAAATTGAATAAAGAGTACTATGGGTGTAGCTGGATGGTGGAGTACCTCTGGAGTCAATCCTCAATACTGGGAAGGAAGGAAAGAAGGAAGGGAGGGAGAGGGGGAGGGGGGAGGGGGAGGGAGGGGAGGGGGGAGGGGGAGGGGAGGGGGAAGGGGAGGGGGAAGGGGAGGGGAGGGGAGGGGGGAGGGGGAAGGGGGGGAAGGGGGAGGGGGAGGGAGGGGAAGGGATTGGTTATCTCTGGAGGGAAGAGGAGGGGAGGGGAGGGGAGGGGAGGGGGGAGGAGAGGGGAGGGGGGGAGGGGAGGGAAAGGGAGGGGAGGGGAGGGAAAGGAAGGGAGGGAGGGAGGATCCAACCAGGGGTGGGGTGGGGGGGTGCATAGCTTAAAGGTAAAGTGCACCACCAAAAAAGGAAAAAAATAAATCTTAAGTTTTAGTCATACATACATACGTGTATTTTTTTAAAAATTGTTTTTAGTTGTAGATGGACACAATATCTTTATTTATTTATTTATTTTTATGTGGTGCTGAGGATCAAACCCAGGGTCTCACAACCTGCAAGGCAAGTGCTCTACCACTGAACTACAGCCCCAGCCTATATGTGTATATTTGTATGCCTACATATATGCATATATAATACACATGAATGTACACATGATATATGTATATATACACCTATAATAATACATTTGCATATGTGGTAACTGTATTTATATATATATATATATATACATTTATATCACAGAATAAACCTGAAATCTATATACCACATTTTTTAAAAAGTTAAAGGTGGATTTCTTGTGGAGAAATGAGGAATGGGTTTTGCCCTTTTTCCTCCCCCTCTTCCATAAGCTGTATTTTCTTATATTTCCGGTCTGGATCTGGAGAACAATTTGGCAGCATCTAAAAATGTAGACCTACAATTCTGAAACATTTCCTTTCCTGGGTGAAAATCCTGACATGTGCACAATGAAACATACAAGAAGGTCCATACCGACATTGTTTATGAGAGAGAAAAGGTAAAAACCACCTACATCCATCAACAGAAACTTAACTAGACAAAGGATATATAGACATCAATTAATAGGAAAGAAAGCTACTTTTTTGTGGGGGTGGCACCAGGGATTGAACTCAGGGGCACTGGACCACTGAGCCACATCCCCATTCCTATTTTGTATTTTACTTAGAGACAGCTTCTCACTGAGTTGCTTAGCACCCCAATTTTTCTGAGGCTGGCTTTGAACTCATGATCCTCCTGCCTCAGCCTCCCAAGCCACTGGGATTACAGGCGTGAGCCACCGAGCCCGGCAGACAGATACTTTAATCAATGTGAATATATCACAAAAATATGATGTATAGTGATGAATCTGCCAATTGCATAAACTTAACCACAATATGATACATTTATACAAAGATCAGAAACATGTAAAACAACACTACATGATGAATTGTGTGTGTACATATCTAGCTCAAATTTTTTTAATGTATGGGAATGATAAACAAATGCAAGGTAATGTTTATCTCTGGAATGCAAAGAAGGGAACTGGGATTAGAAAGAGGGTCACACATCAGTTACATCTCTAATGCTTTATCTCTTGGGCCAGGTAGAGAAGTACAGATATTTCTCTGGAGGTTTTTTGTATGCCTGAAACGTCTAATAATGAAATGTAGAACCCATATAATGAAATAAAAATCTAAAGTTAAGTGAGTCGCTGGATATGTTGTAATTAGTTGAATCATAAACCTTTGGAATAACTTTAAAATATTTTCATTTTTTAAATTTTTGTCAAAACCAGATTTTTTTCAAACCAGAAAATTTAATTTCCCCCAAACAATTTTCTAATGAGAGTATTTTACTATAATTATTTCCCAATTTTGTTTAAAATTTAAACTATCTCCACTCGGAAAAAAAAAATGCATCATTTAAGAGGGGCCTAGAGAAAGCTATTGGATCTGTTAAAAAGCGGTATTGGTATTAGTATTCTAAATTCAGGGTGAATGCAGGTCTCAGAGCAGGCCCCTGGGTGACTATGGGGCGCTTCCAGCCCAGGCCTGCACAGCCCTCGCTGCCCGTGCCAGGATTGGCAGAGTTACACATTTGCACATGGTTAAACAGTTTCGTCAGGGAAATGGATTTAAACTAGCTTTTAAAAAAAAGGAAAAGAAAACATTCCGGTGCATTCCACATTTTCCCTTAAGTATACTGTACCTGCCAGTCAGGCTGTATTTTGCATTCCTCAGGGCTTCGAAACACCATTGAAATTGTGCACAGGAATCACTACGCCCCCCCCCCCCCAGTGAAATATATTTGTCTCTTCTGGGATAAATAAGGAGCAACCGTCCCCAAGGGTGTGCACCCCGGGGTGCGCGCCCAAGGAGGATGGCAGGCAAGTCTCAAAGCCCTGCTGTGCTGAGGGCTGGAGAGTGCGGGGATGTCCTTGTGTCTTCGGTCACCCACCCACCACAATCTTTGGGTCAAAACTCCAGTGTATAAAACTCTCCGCCTGCTGAGCAGAGACGGGGCAGAGCTGGAGTGTGGGGATGTAGGATCACGCGGGGCAGAAGGAGCAGAGACCAGAGCTGCACGAGTCAGAGCCTGCGTGGAGGGGCACGCTCCCGCAAACTGACTTGAACCCCACCGTGGCTTCCCGGAACTCGCAAACCCCCTTCGCGCCTTTAAGACGCAACTTGCTCGACAACAATCGGGTTCGCAGCCGCACGCCCCGGGGGAGGCCCCAGCGCGGGCCTGCGGGGCGCGTCCCGGCGCTGGGGAGGAGCGGCCTGCCGGGGGGCGGGCCCTGGCCGGGAAGGCCTGTTGCTCAACCTCACCTCTCCCCACCCCGCCGCGCTCCCGGCTGGAGGAGGTGCTGCGGGCGAGCGAAACTAGTTCATGTGTCAGCCACCCCGGGATCTGGCAGAGGAGGGCCGGGCCGAGAGCAGCCGAGCGGGGAAGACAGCCAGCCTCTGCCCGCTCGGCCCGCCGCGGTGCAGGGCGCGGAATGTCTGCATGCGTAATGAGGGCCCGGAGCGAGGTGATTTCCCAGCCCAGCCGGCCCTGCCTAAGCACACACGTTCTCTGTATTCAAATAGCACTCTTCCATGGAAGTCCTTAGTAGCAGAATGCAGCAGGAAGAACTCCCAGAGCAGCCTTGCTCTAGGCCCTCCTTAGGGAGAAGAGAAAAATCTGCCTCTGGAAGTGCCTGGAAGCTTCCATATTCGAGGGCGCGAGAAAGCAGTGCGCGTCCCCTTGGACTAAGTAGAAAAAAATCGATCTTTCCTTTTGGGCCTGGTTTCCCTGTTATTGAAAGGGCCGCACGGAACATTGAGATTGCTAAATTGTTTTCCAGTCGATGATAGTGGAGTCTCAGTTTCAGAGCTAAGTTCCATACCCACTAGGACAAAGCCCCTTACTAGGCGGGTACCCCCACCGTGAGTCCCTGGATTCTCCATAGCAAGATAAGGACAAAAGCTTGTGCAGGCTGTGCACTTTGTCTCAAGTCACGCGGGGTGGCTCGTGGCAGGGCTACTCAAACTCCAAGATCCCATGGTGGGTGAGTTAATCTGACTTCGCCGTGACCCCTTGTTCTCCCCCTCCACTTCTCAAGGGCCCTTTTCACTTCTTCCTTTTCCTACTTTGCTCTCCCCTCTTTCTACCTCTTCTTCTTGACACGGGTTACTAACTTCTAGATTCTGGAAGGCCCGTACCCGGGGAAGTCCTGTCCATTAAACACAGGGCAGAGCCGGGACTTCCGCGCTCACCCCTCCGCCCAGTTAATCAGCTACTAGAACCAGCTGCTGCGGGCCTGGGCACGTTTTCTGTTCCACGGCTCCCAGAACTTTTTTCTGTGCTTTAACTTCAATAATCTTGGGTGCTCCTGAAGGCTAGGCGCACACCTAAATTGTAAAGCTTCAGATGAGTTGAGTTCAAAGTTTTTATTTTCTACTTTTAAAGCCCTCAATAAATTAGGGCAAAGGTAGCTGGAGCCCGGCCCCCTGCCCTGGCGTTCCTCTGGGGTTATTGGAGTTGGCTCAGCAACCTGGCTCTTGGGAAACCAGGTGTAAGGAGACCTGGGTGGAGGGATCTGGGGTTGTTTGTGGACCTTTCTCCTCCTCTGCGGCATATGCCAGAGTCTCTCGGGAGACATCGGGCAGGCTTGTCACTGGAGGGAGTTGGTGTCGACCTGCCTTTGTTACGCAAGTCCCCGAAACATGAACCGGTGTTCCTGGCCAGCCCTTGAATGAGGAAGTGGGCCAGTGCTGTCTTCAGAAGGCCGCTGGCTAATACTCAGAGCGGAGCTGATCCTAAATAAAGCAAGCAATTCCCACTCTTCTCTTTCCCTTGTCTCTATGTAGAATCATGCGTTTGTCCTAGGTCTCTAAGGTTTTTCACATTTCCAACAAAATAAGTTGTTTCTTTCTAAGACTTATTTTAAAATTTTAGTATCAAACAATAATGAACAGAGTGATTTTTTAATATATATGTATATTTTGAGTTGTTTATGGACCTTCATTTTATTTATATGCAGTGCTGAGAATGGATCCCAGTGCCTCCCACATGCTAGGCACGCTCTATCACTCAGCTACAACTCCAGCCCCACAAAGAGTTTTTAAAGGTTAAAAAAAGAGAGAGAGAAATATATATATATATAGTATCAAGTGTTTGGTTTTTCCCCTGGAACCCTGTCTACCTGCGTATCCCCAGCTGCCATAGCAAGTAACAAGCTTCTGAATCCGTGACATTTGGTGTAGTTTCCAGGTGGCTCTCACGTTTTCCCCAGGGACTATGTAAAGACCTTGGGACGTAGTATGTGGGGGACACAGCTGGGAACTTGGACAGAAAGAAGATCTCTTAAACTGGCTTTGTTCCCAACCCCTGGGTTGCCCCCAAACCACACCACAATCCTACTCTGGGAGACCGTCCAAGGTTCCCAGGGCCAAAAGACAAACACCTAAACCAACAACAACGAAAAAGTAATGTGTATGTGTGTGTGTGTGTGTGTGTGTGTGTGTGTGTGTGTGAGAGAGAGAGAGAGAGAGAGAGAGAGAACACACCATGGAAAGATGGCAGGTAGAGGACAGAGACTTCTTCCAGGAAGAAAACAGAGAAAGTGAACCACTTTCCAAAGCTAGAGGAAGGCTTTCTCACTCTGCTTTGTAAAGTGGTCTAAACCGATGAGAAGAGAGGCCCAAAACATGTTCAAGCCCAAAATGGTGAGGATAATGTCAGCCCCATGAGGTTGGGAGGAAGCTGAGAATTGTGGAGCATGGTGACACCAGCACTTCTCCTGCAGAACCGGGTCCTTCTGGTAGTACTTCCTCTTACTGGTCCCAAAGCACTTTGCTGAGGAACTGTCTCCATTCATTATTGTGGGAAGATTAGAGGCATGTGGGTAACTAAGATGGGGAAATTCTTTGGCTGGAATAATTTGCCCTTTATTCATTGAGTCTCTCACCAACATAGTGAACCCATCTGGGTTGTGAACAGATTGAAAGTTATGGAAAATGGGGCTGTGCTTGTGGCTCAGCGGTAGAACACTTGCCTAGCATGTGCCAGGCCCTGGGTTCGATCCTCAGCACCACATAAAAGTAAATAAATAAAATAAATGTATTGTGTCCAACTACAACTAAAAAATAAACATAAAAAAGTTATGGAAAATTATTCAAAGATTATATTTGCCTTTCCTCTTTTATTATCTGAGTCCGTTTAGAAAAACAGTAATATTAAAGTGGATAACCTTTACTTGCACTCTTATAAATCAACATTGACATATGCCCTTAAAATTTCTTAAAAACAACTCTTAGTTACTTAAATTATGGTGTAAAAAAGATAATTTGCTGTAACCAGCAGGTCAAAGGACCATTCACAGAATAAGAGATGGATGAATTGGACTGAGGGGTAAGTGTAAGCAATTAACCCAAGTTTCTGATTGTTTCTTTTCTCAAAATTCTTTTTTGGCAAAGATTAAATTATGCCAAATAGCTATCCATTTTATGATGACAAGATGATCAAACTTGTCTCGCTAAACGCTTCCCTTCTTGTACAACTGTCTAAACAGGATTTTCCCACTTAGCACCCTATCAATCCAGTTATGTTTATGCCACAACTTAGGAGATCCTGTGTATCAAATATTAATATTTGTATAGTTATTAAAGTATTTGATGGTGGGTTTCTGTAAGATGAACTCTAATGCGCCAATTTTTAGCGTTAGAAAAGAGTCTAAATAAAAATTATTTGTCTAGGGCTGGGGCTATAGCCCAGTGACAGAACACTTCCTAGAATGTTTGAGGCACTGTTTCAATCCTTGGCACCAATAAAAATGAAACAAAATAAAGGCATGCTGTCCATCTACAACTACGAAAAAATTTTTTTTAAAAATTTTTTCTAGCCTTTGGTTTGATGACATATTTTAAGTGGTATGTATAATAAAAGCAATGCTTGTTAGAAGCACAGCATTTTAACAAAACCTCTTGTATTATATAGAATAGTGGTTTTCAGACTGCACTTATCCAAGGACTCTTTCCCAAAATATTAAATAGAAATCGAATCAATGAAAACAGGTGTTGTGGGAGCAGAAAGGTTTGCAATCTCAACTCTCTAGAGGGCTACAAAAGCCATTTTTGAGGACACCAGTGTTCTAGGAAGTTTGAAATAATGTTTACTAAAAATTTAAAAAGGCACTATTCGATAGATGACATACTTTTATTTATTTATTTATTTTTGGTACTGGGAATCTAACCCAGGGACACTTTACCACTGAGCTACATTCCCCAGCCCTTTTTATTTTTTGAGACAGGGTCTCATTAAGTTGCTGAGGCTGGCCCTCAACTTGTAATCCTCCTGACTCAGGAGTCCCTGAGATTACAGGTGTGAGCCATCATACCTGGCCATACTTCACTCTTTCATCTATAGATGTATAGTGTGTTTTTGTGTATGTTTATGAAATATCATTCAATAGTATCTGATTCTTATCTTTATCATGCATACTTTCAAGTTGTTAACTTTTGTGGCATTTTATGTTTGTGCAATACACAGTTCTTTGTCTATAAGTTTCAAATTTAGATTTTTTTTTTAATCCTAATAGTTGATTGTTAAAAGACCAAAGGGGATGCTAGACAAAAATACATGTGACCTGGGTAAAATTATTAGATAAATACTCCTCTATATTGTAGAATAACAGTAGCATCTTAATAAATGATTGCCAAATTGTGATTGGGATTCTAGAGACTATTTCATCCAAAACTCTGATTGTTTTTTCCAGCCAAGAACACCAAGTTCCTGGAAGTAGAGGGATGTCACAAGGTCACCTTGATGGTGCTAGGCCAGAGCACGGTTATCTCACACATGAGGCACATGCTTGTCCCTCTGCTTTATGTACTGCTTTGTATAAATAGTGATATTTTTACAATACTTGAAAATACCAAAATTGACTATTGAATGAAATAAACTGAGTATTTCTACATTTGTTCAAGTTAATCCAGTCTCGAACACATTTCAATCATAGTCAGAAAGCAGGGATTGTGTCAGATTGAAGATGACCTAAACATCCTTACAGGGTTAGATGTGTAGAAGATGCCATCAAGGGAGCCCAGCATAAAGCACACATGCGTTCATGCCTTTGTAAAGCAGAGGTCGCACACGTAGGCATGTAAACAAATCAGCCAACGTGAGGCTGAGATATATAAGGCTGCAACTTGGGTCTATAGGAGTCTGACATTTTCCACCTTTGGAGAGCAATTTTCCCACGTAACCCCAAGAGCAGGAATTAGGGTGAGATAATCCTAGAAACTGACCTTTTTTAAAAATCCAGAGCATGGACTGGGACTGGGCCTCAGTGGTAGAGCACTCGTCTCACAAGTGTGAGGCCCTGGGTTCGATCCTCAGCAACACATAAACAAAAAATTAAAGTATTGTATCCACCTACAATTAAAAAAATATTTTTAAAAAATCCAGAGCATTACATCTTGGGATAAATGGAAAGAACTGTGATTTTGGCCTATTTTGTATGTATAATCAAAATAAGGGAGGTTTCTTGTGGTGTTTATTTAGTATACAAGTGTTTGTTTGTATGCCACATACAGTTTAAAATTGCATAAGTGGACACTTTATAAGTCACATGTCTCTAAACATCAGAATGTTCTCATTTAACTAACTTGGAATTGTTCAAGTTCTTTTGAGCTTTCAAGAGAAATACTAGACAAGAATTTGCTATGAATCAAATTAAAACACTAATTTTCATTTTGGTTTTCTGGCAGCTTTGATTCTGTTAGAGAATATTTGCTCCTGAAATGTAAGTCATTGTACACTGAATTGAATATACAATTTATATTATATTACATGTGTCTCATTGTTTGTAGATGCAAATACTTTAGTACGAGAGACCCCCATAGGCTTAAATGAGAACATGGAGAAATGGGCGTGTCCATGGGTGGGGTTACCCAGCCGAGTCTCCAGTCTCTCCTGGGTCCTTTAATGAGTCTCTAATTGGGGGCTTACATGTCCTTTAGTATCATTTGGCAAATGGAAGATATTTATCTTTGTCAAAATATCTGG